CGTACCGCAAAAAACAAACAAACAAACAAACAAAAACCCCAGCATTTATGGAGTAACTATTGAATGCTCTATATGATGATAATAATTTATACAATGTTTAATATGTGCCAGTAACTGTTCTAAACACTTTATTTATATTACATATATTAACTAATTTTAGTTCTCTGAACTCTCTTAGCTGGACACTACTATTATCCACATTATCCATTTTTCACAGATGGATAAACTGAGGCAAAAAGTATTTAAATAACTTGCCCAAGATCATACAGCTGTACATAAGATCTCATTTGGTTCTTCCATCAATGAACCCTCTGAGGTAGGTATTATCATCCCCATTCTGCAGGTGAGAAGACTGAGACTGAGAAGACCAAAGTATATTCGAGGACACACTGCCAGCAAGTTGGAGATGCTGGGCTTGGCACCCAGGAACTTCCAGAGCCCGTGTCCTTTCACCCTGCCTGTCTCCCCAGAGTCTGGAACTCAGGAAATCTGCTTGCTGTCTTCTTGAGAACCGAAGAGGCTAGAGGAAAGACTTTATTTACACTTTATTGTCAGAGCTAATTATTCAGTGGGTTGATCTACCTCTCCATCTCTCAGTACTCAGTACTGCTTTTCAGTAAGATAAATAACAAGCTTGAATTTCTCCAATCTGTGCAAATCACATACGCGTTACATTTCCTGAGGGGTATCCAAGGCTCCTTTTAGCTTCCTCCTATGGGAATGGCTGCGATCGAGACTGGGGGCCTCCTCAGGCAATGGATTAATAGAGACATGGGTTGATTAACAAATCCTTTAGAATCTACTTTATAATAAATTGCACATTGTTTTTTTTCAAAGAAAAATCAGTGCCAGCAACACAAAAGGACACTGCAGCCAGGCAGGATAAAAATGTCCCGCAACAGCTGCCCTTCTGAAGGTGGCCAGAGACAGTACAAGGCACCAGTGGGAGGTCTGTCTTCTACTCGGCCTCTTTTTCTATAACTTCACCTCCTCTCCTGCAGTCATCACTGTCCACCTATAGCCCCATCCTGTATCCTATATTTCAATTTCAGTCACACCGATTGAGCACATAGTAACCTGAATGCATTTCAACCTATCACTTCAACATTTGTATTTTATAAGATGTTTATCTATTTCTAATTCGGGGGCAAAATCGATGGTTTGCTATAAACTGAATTCCATATAGCCTTCTGACAGGTATAGAGCTAACCATCTGAAAAGCCTCTATGAGACCCTTCAAGTGAACGTCACTTATTTGCTCATTTATTTGTCAGTGAGTTCATTCAGTTTTTATTCACTCAAGTTTTTAGCACAGCCCTTATCAAAGTTCCTGGCCAGTAGGAAATATTCAGTAAATGTTTGTTGAATAGACAAAACAATGAAATATTGATTAACATGTATTCAATGTGTATTGAATGAATATGAAAAATGAATAAATGAAAGGGGAGCAAGGTGATGCACTAGAACCACACAACAGTGGTTTTCGGACCCTCAAGTACTCTCAAACACACACATGCACACATACACACACACACACACACACCACCACCACCACCACCACCCACAAACACAGTTTCCTAAGGCTTGGCTCGGGAATAGCTACAAGAGAGCACTGCTTGGGGTAAGTGGTGACAAGAGCCACTAGTCCCTGTCATTAAATTCTCTCAGTAGCAAACAGATTAGGAATCCTCCCATCTTCTCCCCACCCTGACCGGGGCAGGGGAGGGCTTCTTCCTGTGTCTCCCTGAGCCTCAAGTCACCTCCAATTCTCCTGTCGCTCAAGACATCCAGGCATAGATTTCATGATTTTACTGCACTTAAATCCCCTTCAGTTAATACTGAAAGTCTTGCTGGCCCTTACTCCTGTCATCCTAAATTAAATACTGCTACCTTGTCTCTTATCCTCACCTCTGGTAATGGAGTCTCTAACAAGGGGTTGTGAAAAGCCACTGTGTAATTAACAGAAGTATTGTGGTGGCCTTCACAATCAAACTAACCATGTCCTGCATAAATAACAATAGCAAGAGTGACAGGCAGTATGTATTAAGCCATTACCAGATGCTAGGTTTTATGGGCACCTCCTTGTTTAATCCTCCCAACAACTCTTTGAGGTATTATTATATTATTTTTATTTATTGTTATCCCTTTTTATAGATGAGGAAACTGAATCTTAGAGGCACTGAATTGCCCACAGTCACACAACAGGGAAGCTGGGACTAAAATCCATGAAATCTGACAACAAAGTAAATGTTCTTACTACCAATATACCAGTTATTCTTAATACATCAATCATCTGGGATAGCCGAGTGAATATTAGAAAAACCCTGGTTTGAATCCTGATTGTGCCACTGCGTACTTTGGGCAAGTTCCTTGACTTCTCTGTTTCTTTATCTGTAAAGTTCAGATAAGACCTAATTTATAGGGGCTTCCCTGGTGGCGCAGTGGTTAAGAATCCACCTGTGAATGCAGGGGACACGGGCTCGATCCCTGGTCTGGGAAGATCCCACATGCCGCGGAGCAACTAAGCCCGTGCACCACAACTACTGAGCCCACACGCCACAACTACTGAGCCCGTGTGCTGCAACTACTGAAGCCCGCGGGCTCTAGTACCTGGGCTCCGCAACAAAGGAAGTCGCCTCAGTGAGAAGCCCGCGCACCACCAACAAAGACCCAACGCAGCCAAAAATTTAAAAATAAAATAAAATTCAACTAAAAAAAAAGAACTTTACAATTTACAGATTGATTGTCTGAATTAAAAGAGGGAAAACACATGAAGCCTCTTACCATAGTGTCTGGCCCAGGAATGGATCAATAAATATCTCCATGTTTTCCACCCCAGTTTGTAGCCCTCATCCAATGACTAGATGTCAAACTAAAACATGTTAAATCCTCTGTCTGTATCCCAAGAAAAGTAGCTCACCTCAACCTGCTAGCCAGATAGAAAAACAAATTTTTATGTCGCAGGGGAAGCACAGAGCAGGTAGCCTTTACAAGACACCCTGCAGGAAAGCAGGCAGAGAGCACAGACGTCCCCCTCCCGGCTGGCTAGAGATACCCCATTTAGAAATTCTTGTTCAGCTGGTCTCTCTCCCCCTTCTCAATTAGACCGAGGCGTTCTGTGTGAGAATCATCAAAGCTACGGATTCCCCCAACAAAATGCATTGGTGCGCGATGTAGCAAAAGCTAATGCTTTTAGCCTCCTTACAAATATGGTCTAGAACAGGAAATGTTTCCTTTCTGCTTATTAAAGAGCCCAGGAATTCTGGTTAATGGAAGGTGCCATAGAAACAGAGTCAAGAAAGATTACTTCAGATAGTAAAATAATTTAAACAGCTGATACCTAATACTTGGGTTTCAATCACTTGAGGTTTACGTAAAAGTAGGGTTTGTTCTGTTCTGCTTTGTTTTTCATCTTTTAACCCCTAGGTTTTTAACCTAGTCCAAAGAGCCAACTGTCTCAATTCTTAATATCCATATAGAAGTTTAGAAATAGGATTAACACCTGCCGGAACACCATATTGTTTCTTGGCTCAAGTACAGATAGCTTGTGAAATATGAGTTAATTTCAGGTAAGCAGATGCAAACAGAAATGTCAATGTACTCAAACCTCCCTTCCCTGGCAATATTCTTATTTAACTAAATTGATATGTAGCAGCACTCCACTGTATTAAGAACTATCAGGGGTTTTTTAAGTTTTATGATAGAAGTGGTGATCACAAAACGTATGTATTCACAGTATCTATTAACCCAATACCCAGCATATGGTAAGCACTCACTAACCAGTCGCTATTTTACAATACTTGCAAGAAGTACTAGAAGTAGTAATAATAATAGTAGTATCTATTTCCTACGTGTCAGGTGCCAAAATATATTTGTTTATGTACATTTATAATTTCAAAATAAGGCCTATCCATGAAACAGGAATGATCATTCCCGTTTTACAGATAAGAAAACAACTGCAATAAAGTATCAAGTCTACTGAGTGGTAGAGCTGAATATCAACTCTAGGATTGTCTAATTCCAAAGCCCACGCATGCCTTGCTCTGTGAGACTAGATTATGACCACCAGAAATCTGCCCTGGGTGGACATCAGAGGAGATCCAGGAACCCAGCCACCTTGGCTTCCATCCCCTTTTCTCATGTCCCTGCTGTCTCTCTTCTTTCCAACCTCAGGGAAATGTGGCAGAGAGATGGAACAGGCTAGGGAAGGGTGTGCTGGAGGCTGCAGTTGGGGTTTAAACATGGCCCTGGGCAACAGAACACATGCATTTGCTTGGTTCAAGTTGGAATACTCTGGCATAAGGGATGCTGAGTTGACAGAAGCCAGGAAGGCATTTTTCTCTTTGCTGTCTATACAATGCTACTCTTTGAAGCTCTTCTGCTTTGTTTACAGTTATGCCCTAATCATTAGCCAACAGGGACTTTGGGAGTAGAGTGCTCTGGGAATACTTCCTGTCAGGTTTTTCCCAGACTCTCTTTGGAATGCCTCTGCAATCCACTTTGTAACTCTGGGGGTGGTCCAGTGTGCCCAGAGGGACTCTGCCTCATATTGCTCTTTTAAAAGGATCCCAGCACTCAACCTCAAAAATAGCTCAGGGCCTAAGGAGACCTCACGCAAACGATTTTTGCTTAAAAACAAGTCCGGCCTGGTATCTACAAGTCACACATAAAGAAGTCTTTTGCTACTTACTTTTTAAATTACACGTCACTATAGGGTATTAATCTGTGTGCTTGTTTTGGAAACTCTGAAAATTGGGACAGGCTACCAGGATTCCTCTATCTGTGTGAAGAACTCCTAAGCCTCCCAGGAGAAGCAGCAAAGGGACATTGGTCTGGACAGTAAGACACCTAGGAGACTGGGACTAACCCTCCTGAGCAAAGAGGGTCAGGAGATGCTCTCCTGATATCCTGGAAGAGCAGAGGAGGAGGTAAGAAAGGAGATGAACTGATTATCAGGGATCACCCCGGGAGGGAAGGCAGCTCAGGGCAGGTCCGGCATGAGGGCCTATGTTGAGACACCTGAATATCACGTTTGCTGTCAAATGACATCTGGCCCCGGCACAGGGAAGCCTTTCTAAGGTCCTCAGTGGATGACTCAACTCCAGGAATCTCAAAAGGTCCTGGTGGCCACGGGAGGGACAAACTGAGACGGCTATGACAGAGTCATGCTGATAATGGCTTTGACTGAAGGGTCAACACCAAGCATCCAACAAGCTGTCTAGACCTTCAAAGGAAAGGAGGCGAGAAGGGAAAGGTAAGTGGGTAGGAAGCCAAACCAAACACCACTGTTGCCCAACCAAAGTTATCTCTGCCATCAGGGGGATCTGGGGACATTTGGATTTCTTAACAGTACCATGACACGAGGACAAGATCAGCTCCTCTCCCCTTCCAGCCACCCGTGCTGACTCCCACCTGCAGTTCCCCACTGGGCCTCAGTCTTTTCTCAGCCATTTGTGACTCTGTGACTCTCATCTCCACCCCCAGCCTCTTTCTTTGCTGGTGATGCGCTATCACACACGCCAGCTGTACGTGCTTGCTACCGAGGAAAACGGAGCTGCTCCGTTCCTGGAATCCTGGCCCTCTCAAGTCCCAGGCGTTCCACGAGAGAAGCCTCCTTCTGGGAACTGCCCTGAGCACCCTCGTGGTAAGTGGTCAGACGTGGGCCAGAGCTGATGGCATGGAGTGGGCCAGGAGAGGCTCAGACTGTAGGCAGGAGTCAGAGGTGAGGTCCCCGTCCACACAGTAGGTGGGCTGTTCAGACATCAAGGGCGAGGGCCTTGGAGAGATGAGGCTGCAGGCAGACCAAGGTGTGGCGGAGTGGGGAATACAGAAACACAGCTCTTAGAAAGATGCTCTCTGTTGGGCAACGCCATCAGCTGCTCTAGGAGGCACGGATAGAACCAGGTAAAAGTGTGAATGCTTCCTCATTACGTTTCTGGGCTCTTCGCCCTTCATCTTCTCTTGGCGAGAGCTGGGGTTTGCATCTCCACTCAAAATCTCTCCCCTTTCTGCTTCCCGGCAAAGTCTGTCCTGCTTTTCACATCTCTGCCCTTTCTATAACTTCTACATTCCTTAGAAAACTCATCCTCCTAGGAAAACGTCTTCCACACCCCCCCCACCTCCTCCCAAAGGGAGACGGAAGGGGTCCTTTAGGGCAAGCAGGTGGCTCTCAGACCTGGGGAGCAACATGTATTCCAAAGCCTTGCCTACGCCTTCAGCCTGCAGACTGAGGGGCAGCTCGGATCCAAGGCTCCGCGCGGTCTCTAAAGGCAAATGAGACACAAAGCTGGAGGGAGATGGCTCTGTGCTCCCACACTGAGCCTCAGCACCCCTTCTGTATGGGTGGCAGCACTGCCTTCACCTCCTGGGCCCTGAGGGTTAGGCCTGAACCCAGTAATGCCCAGGAACCATGAAGGAGCTGGTGGAAACCGACCTCAGGGGTCTCCCAGTGAAATCACTGTGGCCGGAGCACCTGCCTGTGGGTAGGATGCAGTCAGATGAGAGCCAGAGAAGGAGGGGCTACAGGACAGCATCACATCTGCGATGCCACAAAGACCCTCAAAGTGCTTATCTTCTTAGAAAGGGAGAAGCAAGAGGGCCAGAGGAGACTTTGATAAATTACAAAAAAAAAAAACAAAAAACCTAATGAAATCAAGTGATGGTGGGAACCAGGTGAAGGCTGAGTGGTGAGTAGGCCAGCTCTTGAGTCCCCATCCCCCTGCCTCGATTTGAGCTCCTTTCTGCTTGGATCCTGTGCCGGTGTCCTCACTCCATTGGCTGGACAGTTGTCCACCAGACTTTCCGTTCACCGTGATTTATGTGTTTTCCTCGGTTATGGCCCAAGGTTGAGCCTTGGCAAGGTGGGGGTCTCTGGGATGACAAGGAAGTAATCCTTGTCGTTGTAGTTGGAAGACAAGTCATCCATTCCATTCCTTATAAAGGCATGTGTTTTTCTTGAATAAATGCTAAGTGAAACTAGTCTTTACGTCTTTTCCCATTGATCCACAACCTCGTCATTCCATAAATAAAATGATGCCTTCAGAGAACACAGACTGCTTGGCAGGGTGGTCTGGGGAGAGAATCTGCGAACTGTGGGATGGCCTATGACAAGGCACTCTCCTCCAGAAAATCACAGTGGCCATGAAGCTGCCGTCTGCCAGGCCCCACTCTCCCTGAGGAAGGTGAGCCCTGCTGGGCTTGGACTCCCCCATTGCTCTCACTCTGAAGGGCTGGAAGTTGTGGAAGGCTTAAGGGCCTCTGGAGTCTCCCAGATCTGCATCATTGACTTCTTTATATTTATTTATTTATTTTTGCAAAAATATATTTTTTTTTCTAAATTTTTCTATTTATTTACTTACTATTTTTGGCTGCGTTGAGTCTTCGTTGCTGTGCGCGGGCTTTCTCTAGTTGCAGCGAGCGGAGGCTACTCTTCGTTGCGGTGCGCGGGCTTCTCATTGCGGTGGTTTCTCTTGTTGCAGAGCACAGGCTCTAGGCACACGGGCTTCAGCAGTTGTGGCACACGGACTCAGTAGTTGTGGCTCACGGGCTCTAGAGCACAGGCTCAGTAGCTGTGGCGCATGGGCCCAGCTGCCCCGCTGCATGTGGGATCTTTCCGGACCAGGACTTGAACCTTATCCCCCGCACTGGCAGGCGGACTCCCAACCACTGCGCTACCAGGGAAGTCCCGTATCATTGTCTTCTGATCTTGGGGATTTACTTAACTTCCCTCAGCTTCTGTTTTCTTATCAGTAAAAGGGAGATAATTACCTACACCTCATAGCACTGTTATGATAAAGAACCTGTCATAAAATAAATGCTCAGAAAATAGCAACTATTATTGTTCAATTTGTGCTACTCCCTCAATCGTTATTCTCCCTGGTTACATTACTGAAGTAAAATGTAGCTCATTAGTGTGTTCAAAGTAATAGAAGATTCAGCTTAAACACATTTTTTGCCTACATCAAGTCATTCAGAAGCACCCATTTTCATTTCAGGCCATGGAGTAGAAAATAATTCTAGATCATGTGAGAATACATTCCAACCTTAGAGTGTTTTCAGGTAGTTGGATCATTTAGTATCTGTCATCACTCCCATCAGTAGATCTCGTTGTACCATTGGGTTTTCATTGGATAGGAGTCGGAAGAGGTTGAGTTGAAGGCACATTGGGCTGTCAAAACAACAAAACCAAAACCAAACCCCCCCAGAGTAGCATGCCTTGTTGTAGTTTTCTTTTCCCCAAAGGAAGAGTGGGATAAAGCACAGAATAAAGACAGATGGTTTTGTAAGTTGTTAGAGATTTTTGCTGTCTGTGGTTCCAGGGGTTGAAACGAAGAGGTCATGAGACAGGGATGCTCTTTAGCTGACACTGGAGACAAACTCTTCCTAGATGTTTTGCCTGAATAGACACAGGCTTCCCAGTGGGGAAAGAGGTCTTTGGTGTTGTATCTAAACTCACTAGATGAACTGAAAAGAAACATTTTTTGATCTATGGGTACAAACTGTAAACCCCTTCCTTTCTTGTCTCTCTCAATGCAGAGAGGACAAAAACTCTCTCTCTCTCTCTTCTTTATTTTGGTATAAAGTAGATATTAAGCATTAAGCACTAAAAAGGAAGAGCTAGTATGGGTTAATGACATTTATTGATCACATTTAGTGATCATATGCTACTGTGAAAAGTGCTTTCACGTATGTTATTTATTTCAACCCTCACAATAGCTCTATGGGACAGGTTTCATTATTCCCATATGACAGGTGAAGAAGCTGAAGTTCAAAAACGCTAGGTGACTTGTGCAAAGTCACACACTTTATGAGGGGCTAAGCTAAGAGTCAAACTCATGTCCTCCAAATGCAAAGTCTGTACTCTTTTCCAAAGGCAATTGAGGCTAAAAATATCTAAGGATTATAAATATTATGCTTGAAAGGGAGCAATTGAGACATCTTTACTTGAAAGATGAGGAAACTAAAGTCCTTACTATATATAAAATAAACAACAAGGGCCTACTATATAGCACAGGGAATTATATTCAATATCCTGTAATAAACCATAATGGAAAAGAATATGAAAAAGAATATATACATTCTTTCAACATTGTAAATCAACTATACTTCAATTTAAAAAAACAAAACAAAACAAAACACTGACATCCAGAGAGGCAAAAATCATCTAATTAGGCTCTCACAACTTGTTAGCAGCCAAGCCAAGCCTAGAATCCAGGATTCTTTCTACTACTCTTTGCTGACCCTTGAAGGAACTCCCTAAAGAATAAGAAACTCTCAGGGTAGAGTAAACACTAAGGTACTCCTCCTGTTTAGCATGAATAAAAAGTATTCATTTCTTCTTCTATTTCCCTGATTTGGATCTTGTCATGGAATCTATGAACGGTGATAGACAGAGCTGCCTGCTGGAAAAGCACCACTGATGGAGACTAGCTTTAGAGCTCCAGATTCCTGAGAACCTTAGATCTTTCTTCTCTCTCTCCAATGTCAATATGACTCCGACATGAAGACACAGAAAGCAACTACGTATTTCTGTTTTAAAAATCAGTTGTGGGCTTCCCTGGTGGCGCAGTGGTTGAGAGTCCGCCTGCCGATGCAGGGGACACGGGTTCGTGCCCCGGTCCAGGAAGATCCCACATGCTGTGGAGCGACTGGGCCTGTGAGCCATGGCCGCTGAGCCTGTGTGTCCGGAGCCTGTGCTCCGCAACGGTAGAGGCCACAACAGTGAGAGGCCCGCGTACCGCAAAAAAAAAAAAAAAAAAAAAAAAACCTGGGTTGTTTTTTATTTAAATTTCATATATGTAAAAAAAAACCAAGTAAAAAAAAAAAAAAAAGAAAGAACCAATTGAACATCATTACAACAGTACCATATTTGAAAGGAAAATGTTAAGACCTTAGTAAGAATGGTGAAAGTATGTAAAAGACTTTAAGCTAATATTTCTAAGCATCTTCCCATCTCTGTGAGAGGTCTATTTGCATTTTCATGCCAGCACATGGGCACAGTTTGCATCGGGGTCAAACACAAAGGCAGTGGAATTAGACTCCTGGATGACAATCCTGGTCCCACCATTTGCTGGTGAATTTCTCCAAACCTCAATCCTCAATTTCTTATCTACTAACTGGAAGGTTGTAAGAACTATGGCAGAGACTGCTAGTTTCCTTCCAAATAACCATTCTCCTCTTCTTCTTTGCTCACAGAACGCTGATTTTGTCTGGGATGGCAATGTGCCCAGCTGAAGGAATACATTTCCAGCCTTCCTTGCAACTTTGGACAGAAAATAAGCTGTAATTGGAAGTCATCATATGGGGGCTCCAAAATTTCTCTAAAAAGAATTCTTTATCTCCAAGGTGTTCCCTTCTGCTCTACTCCCAGTTCCTCTTTTTTCCAGTCTAGCACTCAGATACAGTGTCTGGAACTCCAGCAGCCATCTTGGACTGTGAGGATACAAGCCCTGTACACCAAGGATGGTGGACGAGAAAGGTAAAAGGAGCCTGGGTCCAAAAAGTCACCATACCAGCTCTGGACAACCCACCTCCGGATGTCTTTCAGATAAAAGAGAAGTAAATCTTTATCTTAATCCACTTATTTGGAATCACCTGTTATACAAATCAAATCCAATTCTGATCTTTATAATAAATAAATAAAATAATCCATATGAAACATGTGGCATAGGACCTGGCATTTAGTAAGTACCCAATAAATGTTAGTTGCTGCTACTTCTATTACCAATACTCCATGAAGTACTATGATTGGTACTACACTGCTGATAGGATTATGTCTCATCTTCCCTTTGCTTCAGATGTAAGTTCCTGGAGAGCAAACCTTACAACTTACTCTCATTTGTATCCCTGTAGGCCTGCCACTGTGCCCTGCACATAATTTTTTTTTAAAGCACCTTCTACTTACAGAAAAAGTAATTTTAAGTTTATTTTTCAGTTAAATCTGCTGAGTAGAATCAGGCTTATTAATACGATAAAACCTGAAGAAATAGTTCCAATTCTTATATAGGTGTCTGTATTTCCTAATTCTTATTTTAAAGTGCCTATTTTATTTATATCTGAATTAGCAACCAGTTTTGTTAAAGTGTGTTATGAATAAAACATTATCTTTTTTTACAAAAAAAAAAGGTGCAAACCAACCATGGAAAGTCTGGCCTCTGGCCCCAAAAACTGTCTTACACGCCCCATCACACACCTCGCACTGTCTCATTGTTATTGTAGCCGTTCTCTATGGAGCACTTGCTATGAACTTGGCACTAGGATAAAGCACTTAGGTACCTTGCCTGAATTAATTGCTCATATCAATCCTGTGGGAGAGGTATGATTACCGCCGTACACTACACTCCTTATTGTAAGGTTAGGATCTAGAAGGAAATAGTCTAATGACTGTTATATTTTCAAACTCAAATCAAATTACAGAAAATGTTTCTTAAGAGCTTTGAGCCTATAGAAAACTCGCAGAAGTTTCACTTTATTCTGTGTTAATTTCCTTTTTCAGAGACCGACTTACAGAAGAAACAAAGTCTTCAAAAGCGAGAAGAAAGCTTAATTCTTCACTCCCCTTTTCCTCTAAGATATTTTCATTTTTTAAAACGTAGTGTTCTTAATCAAAGGTCCATAGGAACTTTACATCCTGAGAAAAACAGAAACTTTCATTGCTACTTGGGGAAAGCAAGAATTGAAGAAGTTTTTTAGAAAAATGTCTTCCTTTCCCCTCCATTTTCCTGCAAGATCTCTTCACTTCCCAGGCCTGCCTGGGTCCCCCTGCCTTGCTTATCAGGAGGGTGGAATCCTCTTGCCAACCTTTATAACTCACACCCTCCCATTTCAGATCTGATTCTTTCCATATTTTGAATTCACAAACACTCTTTGTCTCTCATTCCTGTTCTGTTGGTCAATTTCTGTGCAATAAGTTTGAAGTAAGAGTTTTGATTTTATATGTCAAGTTAAATAAATGCATATAAATAAGAGGGTACCCTGATTATGATACCAACATCATCATGAATTTGTTTAGCGGCACCAAGAACCAGCTAATCCCACAAAAGTTGCTCTGCGGGGGCTTCCCTGGTGGCGCAGTGGTTGGGAGTCCGCCTGCCGATGCAGGAGACACCGGTTCGTGCCCCGGTCCGGGAAGATCCCACATGCCGCGGAGCGGCCGGGCCTGTGAGCCATGGCCGCTGAGCATGCGTGTCCGGAGCCTGTGCTCCGCAAAGGGAGAGGCCACAACAGTGGGAGGCCCGCGTACCGCAAAAAAAAAAAAAAAAAAAAAATCTGCTCTGTGTACCTATTTTATGTAGTCATTTGGTTCAACTGGATATTGTTTTTTTAAAGCCACGTTGAAATCAACGTGTTTTCCCAGGCTCTTGGAGTGCCCGGGTCAGGAATGCTGACAATCTGCCGTCAGAGAGAGGCTGTCAGCATCGCCCGCTATCAAGCCCTCCCAGTCATCACTTGCATAAGAACAAGCAGGCAACCCGCTGCCTTGTGACAAATGCTGTGACTCCGGAGCCAAGTGCTATGAATGAAGTCCTGTAAAAGGTCATTTTACGTAAGAGGAAATAATGGCGTCACCCGGGGTGCATACATAATTTTGAATTAAAAACCTGTTCACTGGATTCTGGAGTACATACACTTATTAGGGATCCCTCTCCTTTTTTTCTCCCCCGTCATCTCATTAAAGGTTACAAATTCTGAAATCTTGTCCAAGTTGTCTAGTTTGGGGTATTTCGTGTCCTAGGTAGGTCATAAACTGTTATTTATGATTGAATTCTGGGCTATGTGAATTACATTCACCTAATTCCCTGGAAGGGCAGCAACAAGTTTTACCACCCGACCTATTAGCATTTCATGGATACCTATGGATCTATTACCCTCCATAAACATTTTTCAAGGAATATTTCTCCTGACACCTACACAGAGCAGCTAGAAAAGCCAGTGAGCTATTTCCTCAAGTACCCGTATAAACATTCAAATCATTTCAACTTCTCAGCTCCAGAGATAATTTCAAGACCTGGGGGGGTATGTGGAGGTGACTAGTAACACCAGAAACATTCCATGAATATTTTAGGAGCCAGGTGATAAAATAAACTGCAAGCAGTTTTTTAGCCCAGGTTCTAAATAAATGATTTTCAAAAATTTTTTGAAAAAGAATATATTCTAACAACTGTATTTTAAAATATGCCCATTTCAAAATATTGCTTTCTTTTGTGAATTTTCTTCCTGCTTAAGGTTTCTTTTAACCCACATGGATTATATTTGGAAAGACTAAATCACAAAGCACGTTTTAAAACAGTAGAATTGGGCTTCCCTGGTGGCGCAGTGGTTAAGAATCCTTCTGCCAATGTAGGAGACACGGGTTCAAGCCCCGATCCGGGAAGATCCCTACATGCCGCAGAGCAACTAAGCCTGTATTCCACAACTACTGAGCCTGCGCACCACAACTACTGAAGCCCCCGTGCCTAGAGCCCATGCTCCGCAACAAGAAGCCACTACAATGAGAAGCCTGCGCACCACAATGAAGAGCAGCCCCCGCTCGCCGCAACTAGAGAAAGCCCGCACGCAGCAACGAAGACCCAACACAGCCAAAAATAAATAAATATTTAAAAAAATAACAGTAGAATTAAACAGCTTATTTTCAATATCTATAAACCCCTTAAGACAGTTTATATAATTTAAGTAAAAATTTATATTTTGGGGGGGAAGAGATGTGATGTCTGAATACTTCGAGTGATTATTTGCAAGAATAACATCTTGAATTTACATAAACTATCTTCCAAGCCTCACAAAGTAGTGCCACAGTGGAAAGAGCGTTAATTAAGGATCAAGGGAGCCGGATTTGGGTTCTAATCCTGTCTTTGAGTTTAATTGGCTGTGTGACCGGGGGCAGGTCACTGGCCCTCTTAGCTTCATTTTTTTCCTCTGCAGAAAGGGGAGAGATGAATGAGACTTCATCAAAACTCCTAAAATTCTGTTTTCAGCTCTGATCTCAACTTACCATTTATACAGGTAGAGAAGAGGTATTACTGCTTACCACTGTATAGAAAGCAAATACAAACCAGGGTCCACAAGCTGTCAAGACAGCCATGCAGCTCAGGTCTTGTGGTAGCTACGCGGCACTTTTTACAGGCATCAGGGATTTTAATTAGAACCCTAGGCAATAATTACAATTATTCTATAGTGAGCCAGTGCATTGTGGCAAGGATAAGATTCACTCTCACGCCTGCAAACACAACTCACACTGTTGTCTACCTTAAGGATCTCCTTTGCCGTAAGAAACTAAGACTCAGTCACCGAATCGTCTCCCACAGAGACCCGTCATTCCCTCCAGTGGTGGTGTCGAAACACGGCAACAGGAAATTACAAAGGGGATCTGGCACCACCACAGACCACTGCTTTGTAATAGTGGTTTAGGCAGGGTGGGGCTAACCCTCAAAGCAGGATGCTCCAAGCTCTGAGGAAGCCAGCTCTTCTCAGTACAGTTTCAAATCCTTCAGATGTCAAGTTCCACAACAAAAAAACTGACCATCCCACCTTCACGGGCCATGAACATCACTAGCAAGAAAAGTGTATATGTATGTACAAATACACACACACACACATATATACATACATAGATGTACATACCCACAAATGTATATATACTGGGAATTACTTGGAAGGATCATTAAAGACAGGTATGTGTTTAAAAACTGGAACCAAGCTTTGTAAAAATGAACATCTCTCCAGCAGCTAAAAACTAGAAAGAGAATATGCCTAAAACTATTACAAGTTTGGCCTCTTTGACTGTGATGACTCACAAAGCCGGTCTGCTCTTTTGAGGTGATGAGTCAGCCCTGACAGAGTAAGCCACACCACTCGGTAGAATTTGTTACAGCAAAGTTCAAAATACTTGCAACATAACTGAACTGTCAGCTTCAATAGGAACTGAACTGGATGAACTGTCAGCTTCAGGAGAAAGCCAAAGGAGGACAGTGACTTAATTGAAACTCTGAAACTCCTCAAGAGTCATTTCCTGTTGCTTTCTGTACAGTAGTTGAATACTCATTTATCAGTTACTTCAGAAGCACAGGTTGTCAGGTCTTAAAGGACTATGGAGTATGTTTGCCCACTCTGTTAGAAATGAATTTGGCAGGGTTTGAGAGCATGCAAATAACCACATCGACTATTTTTTCAAGTGTTCATTTCTGGCATCTAACTAACCATCCAATGCTTCAGGTGAATGCCCGGGGCAGGGAGCAAGTGACTCCCACATGGACCCTATCTCAGAGCAATCAGTTGTGACTCTGCATCAAGGGGTGACAAAGCGGTCCTTTCTGTCCTCAGGTCCTAACAATCCCTTCAAAATAAAATCGGATTTAGAACAACCTTCAGACCAAGGAGACCTGCCTACATCTATAGCCCACCCTAGAGCATCTAAATCTTCAAAGCCCTCTTGCACCACCTGTGCCATCTTTGATAACCTGACTCACTTTGTAGGCAGGTAAGGCCAGGGGTCAAGAGCACCCATGCCATGGCATTTATTGCCTTTCTATGTGGTGAAGATTTCCAACA